AAAATTTTCATTGACACCCAGCTCATAAAATGGCATCTTCTGGGAGAAATTGACATCAGTTCATACAAAGTACAAAAAAAAAATTTGCTATTTTTAACCACTACATTGTAAGCTATGTTTTGGAAGTATGTATTATATCTACCGATTTTTTGTGTGAGGTAACTTATAGTGGAATTTGGTGAGGAACAATTTTTCTATTGACATCAACTCTCTTTGATCGATTTTTGTGGGTCAAATGGCCGCTTTTCGGAAATAACTTCTTAAAAATAACGCATATAAATAAATAATATTTTTAAATCCCCAAATTGTTGCCAATATTTTTGTTGCTATCAGTTCTTCTTACATATTTCTTTTGCTTCAAAACCCATAGTGAAATGCGATCTAGAATAAAATTTTCATTGACACCTAGCTCATAAAATGGCATCTTCTGGGAGAAATATACATCACTTCATACAAAGTACAAAAAAATAATAAAAATGTTGCAATTTTTAACAATTACATTGTAACCTATTTTTTTCTAAATATGGGTTATATCTCCAGATTTTTTGCGTGTGGTGACTTATAGTAGAATTTGGTGAGGAATATTTCTTCCATTGGAATTATACCTCTAAAATGGATTTTTGGTGGTCAAATGGCCTCTTTTTCGAATTAACAGCCTGAAAACAAAGACAAAAGTTCCTTGTCCTAAATGCCCAAGTTGTTGGCCATATTTCGTTCCTATGTATAACAACTACCGATTTCCTTTGTTTTGAGATCCATAATAAAATTTGGTGTAGAATAATTTTTCCATTGACACCAAATCCCTATGATGAAGTTCTGTGGCAGAAATTGGTGTAATTTCAAAATTGAGGAAATTTACAATTTTTAGAATTGATTATTTTATACCTCCACATTGTAACCTATCCTTTTTTGGAATATGGGTTAAATCTATTGAGTTTCTTATATCGGCGACCCATAGTGAAATTTGATAAGGGTTATTTTTCTTATTGACACTATCCCCCCTAAATGGAGTTTTAGGGGCTCAAACGACCTCTTTTCTGAGATAACTTCTTAAAAACACCGCAAATGTGCCCTTCTTTAAATACCTCAAATGTTATCCATATTTTTGTTGCTAAATATTTTACTTATCGATTTCCTTTGTTCCGAGACCCCTAGTGAAATTCTATGTAGAATACACTTGTCATTGACACCAAACATCTATGATGAAGTTCTGTGGGAGTTAATGGCGTAATTTCAATATGGACGAAATTTACAATGATATAAAATTGGTTATTTTATATACTCAGATTGTAACCTATCCTTTTTTGGAATATGTGTTAGATCTATTGAGTTTCTTATTTCGGCGACCCATCGTGAAATTTGATGAGGAACATTTCTGTCATTGACACTATCCCCCCTAGATGTAGTTTTAGGGGCTCAAACGACCTCTTTCTGAGATAACTCCTTAAAAACACCGCAAATGTGCCCTTCTTTAAATACCTCAAATGTTATCCATATTTTTGTTGCTAAATATTTTACTTATCGATTTCCTTTGTTCCGAGACCCCTAGTGAAATTCTATGTAGAATACACTTGTCATTGACACCAAACATCTATGATGAAGTTCTGTGGGAGTTAATGGCGTAATTTCAATATGGACGAAATTTACAATGATATAAAATTGGTTATTTTATATACCCACATTGTAACCTATCCTTTTTTGGAATATGGGTTAAATCTATTGAGTTTCTTATATCGGCGACCCATAGTGAAATTTGATAAGGGTTATTTTTCTTATTGACACTATCCCCCCTAAATGGAGTTTTAGGGGCTCAAACGACCTCTTTTCTGAGATAACTTCTTAAAAACACCGCAAATGTGCCCTTCTTTAAATACCTCAAATGTTATCCATATTTTTGTTGCTAAATATTTTACTTATCGATTTCCTTTGTTCCGAGACCCCTAGTGAAATTCTATGTAGAATACACTTGTCATTGACACCAAACACCTATGATGACGTTCTGTGGGAAATATTGGCGTAACTTCAATGTGGACGAAATTTACAATTACATAAAATTGATTATTTTATACCTCCAAATTGTAACCTATCCTTTTTTGAAATATGGGTCCAATTTTTTGAGTTTCACATATCGGCGACCCATACCAGAATTTGATAAGGAACATTTCTCTCATTGATACTATCCCCCTTAGATGGAGTTTTAGGGGCTCAAACGACCTCTTTTCTGAGATAACTTCTTAAAAACACCAAAAATGTTCCCTTCTTAAAATACCCAAATTATTACCCATATTTTTGTTGCTAAATATTTTTTTTATCGATTTCCCTAGTTCCGAGACCCCTAGTGAAATCGGATGTAGAATACACTTGCCATTGACACCAAACACCTATGATGAAGTTCTGTGGCAGAAATTGGTGTAATTTCCAAAATTTACGAAATTTGCAATCATATTAAATTGATAATTTTATATACCCATATTGTAACCTATATTATTTTGGAATATGGGTTAAATCTATAGAGATTCTTCTTTCCGTGACCCATAGTGAAATTTGATAAGGGTTATTTTTCTTATTGACACTATCCCCCCTAAATGGAGTTTTAGGGGCTCAAACGACCTCTTTCTGGAATAACTCCTAAAAAGCACCCAAAAATTTTCCTTTCTTTAAATATCCAAATTATTACCCATATTTTTGTTGCTAAATATTTTACATATCGATTTCCTTTGTTCCGAGACCCCTAGTGAAATTCGATATAGAATAAAATTGTCATTGACACCAAACACCTATGATGAAGTTCTGTGAGAGATATTGGCGTAATTTCAATGTGGACGAAATTTACAATTATATAAAATTTTCTATTTCATGTACCCACATTGTAACCTATCCTTTTTGGGAATATGGGTTCAATCTATTGAGGTTCGCATATCGGCGACCCATACTAGAATTTGATAAGGAACATTTCTTTCATTGACACTATTCTCCCTAGATGGAGTTTTAAGGGCTCAAACGACCTCTTTTTTGAGATAACTCCTTAAAAACAACGCAAATTTTCCTTTCTTTAAATATCAGAATTATTACCCATATTTTTGTTGCTAAATATTTCACTTATAAATTTCCTTAGTTCCGAGACTCACAGTGAAATTCAATGTAGAATACACTTGTCATTGACACCAAATGCCTATGATGAAGTTCTGTGGGAGATATTGGCGTAATTTCAATATGGACGACATTTGCCATTATATAAAATTGGTTATTTTATACACCCACATTGTAACCTATCCTTTTTTGAAATATGGGTTCAATCTATTAAATTTCATATATCGGCAACCCATACAAGAATTTGATAAGGAATATTTCTCTCATTGACACTATCTCTCCTAGATGGAGTTTAAGGGGCTCAAACGACCTCTTTTCTGAGATAACTCCTTAAAAACACCGCAAATGTTCCTTTCTTTAAATACACAAATTATTACCCATATTTCTGTTGCTAAATATTTTATTTATCGATTTCCTTTGTTCCGAGACCCCTAGTGAAATTCGATGTAGAATACACTTGTCATTGACACCAAACACCTATGATCAAGTTCTGTGGGAGATATTGGCGTAATTTCAATATGGACGAATTTTACAATTATATGAAATTTTCTATTTCATGTACCCACAGTGTAACCTATCCTTTTTTGAAATATGGGTCCAATTTTTTGAGTTTCACATATCGGCGACCCATACTAGAATTTGATAAGGAAAATTTTTCTCATTGGCACTATCTCCCCTAGATGGAGTTTTAGGGGCTCAAACGATCTCTTTTCTGAGATTACTTCTTAAGAACACCGAAAATGTTCCCTTCTTTAAATATCCAAATTATTATCCACATTTTTATTGCTAAATATTTTACATATCGATTTCCTTTGTTCCAAGACCCCTAGTGAATTTCGATGTAGAATACACTTGTCATTGATACCAAACATCTATGATGAAATTCTATGGGAGATATTGGCGTAATTTCATTATGGACGAATTTTACAATTATATAAAATTGGTTATTTTGAATAGCCACATGGCAACCTTTATTTTTTAGGAATATAGGTTAAATCTATTCAGTTTCTTATTTCGGCGACCTATAGTGAAATTTGATAAGGAACATTTCTCTCATTGACACCATCCCCCGTAGATGAAGTTTTAGGGGATCAAATGACTTATTTTTTGAGATAACACCTTAAAAACACCGCAAATGTTCCCTTCTTAAAATACCCAAATTATTACCCATATTTCTGTTGCTAAATATTTTATTTATCGATTTCCTTTGTTACGAGACCCCTAGTGAAATTCGATGGAGAATAAAATTGTCATTGATACCAAACACCTATGATGAAGTTTTGTGGGAGATATTGGCGTAATTTCAATATGGACGAAATTTACAATTATATAAAATTGGTTATTTATATAAACACATTGCAACCTTTATTTTTAGGCATTTAGGTTAAATCTTATTTCGGCGATCCATAGTGAAATTTAATGAGGAACATTTTCCCTATTAACACCATCCTCCGTAGACGAAGTTTTAGGGGGTCAAATGACTTCTTTTCTGAGATAACACCTTAAAAATATCGCATATGTTAAATATTTCTTTATTCTTCAATAATTTCCATAGAGGTGGATTTTTCTAATATATTTTCAAGGACCTCCGGAATTTTTACACATGTTTGAAAACCAGGCCAGGAACTAAGATTTTTTTAGAAAATATTTTTCTCGGACCTTCCAAAAACATGGACATTTTAAAGGGTATTTTTCAAGGTAGATTATTGAAATGGACATTTTCAATAATGTTTTTAAAGGGGATATTTCTGAACAATACCTTATCGGACGTCCCAATATCGTAATATTTTTTTTTTTTGTTATTGTTGTCAAGTTTTTTTTTTTGTGAATTTTTTTACATTTTCACATTTTTTATAGATTCAATTTCAATTTTCATATATCAATATATTTAAAAATCGTCTCCAACTTACCCAACGATAACTTTTCACCCGAATCCGGTGGCAGTGTGAAGCCCAATAAAGCCATCGATGCTATCAGAACACAGGGTATAATTAAATTAAAAAAATAATACAACGTTCGTCGTCGTATGATGATGGCAAATGTTATATCGATATACGGTTCCGGACAGCAGTTGTAGTAGATCTCATTGCGTTTGCCGGGAACGCCTAGAATTGTGCAGGGGGTGGAATAGAAAGGAAAAAGGAAATTGTAAGAAAATTAATAACAATTACAAGAAGTGAGTACATGAATAAAATATGTTTGTAATAAAATATATTTGAATTTTGTTTCCTTTTTGTTTTCAAGTTTTTTTTTTTTTTTTTGTTTTGGTGATGATGTCTTTGAATGTGAAATTGAAATGAATTGAATGGAATATGAGATAGAAATATGTTTCCTGCCAATGACAATTTCAATGTTGACGAATAATGTATGAGAGATTTTATTGGAGAAATATTTAAGATGTTTGAAAAATGAAAAATATCAGAAGGATGTACCATGCCAAAAGATGATAAAGTTACATGCCATAATGGAGAGGTAAAAGGGGAGGATGGGAAGGGATATTTTTCATTTTTTTTTTTTACATAAGAATTATTTGAGAGTGTTTTGTTGTATAAATACAGGTACCATGCAGTATAAATATAGGAGAATAAGTTTTTAATTTGAAGCAATTTTATGGAGCCCCTAAAAGTATGCACGAAAAATGCTCAAAGACACATAAAGAAATAGCCATAATTATTTATCTGGCCTTGTGAAGTTGTTCTTACAACAAAAGACCTTGAGGAGGTCTTCTTTTATTGGAAGACCTTGGATAGGCCTTCTTTAAATTAAAAAATATGAGGAGGTCTTCTGTTTGTAACAGGCCTTGGGAAGGTCATCTATCAATAAAAGGTCTTCTTTCAATAGAAAAACTTTTTCTTCCAAAAGTAGACATTGTGAAGGCCTTCTGTCAACAGACGACCTTGGGAAGGTTTTCTTTCAATAGAAAACCTTGAGGAGGTCTTCTTTCATTAGAAAACCTCGAGGAGGTCACCTCGAAAGTACACATTGTGAAGGCCTTCTGTCAATAGACGACCTTGGGAAGGTCTTCCTTCAATAAAAAGTCCTGAGGAGGTCTTCTGTCAATAGAAGACTTTGGGAAGATCGTCTATCAATAAAAGGTCTTCTGAAGGTCTGCTTTCAATAGAAGACCATATTCTTCCGAAAGTAGAAAGTAGAAGGCCTTCTGTCAACAGACGACCTTCGGAAGTTCTTCTTTCAATAGGTACCATGCAGTATAAATATAGGAGAATAAGTTATTAATTTGAAGCAATTTTACGGAGCCCCTAAAAGTATGCTTGAAAAATGCTAAAAACATATAAAGAAATAGCCATAATAATTTATGTGACCTATCTATGGAAGACATTGTGAAGTTGTTCTTACAACAGAAGACATTGGGGAGGTCTTCTTTTAATGGCAGACCTTGTGAAGGCATTCTTTCAATAGAAAACCTCAAGGAGGTCTTCTGTTAGTAGCAGGCCTTGGGAAAGTCATCTATCAATAAAAGGTCTTCTTCCAATAGAAGACCTTATCCTTCCGAAAGAAGTACATAGAGGAGGTCTTTTGTCAATAGAAGGTCGTGTAAAGGTCTTCTGTCAGTAGAAGACCTTGTGAAAGTCTTATTTCTATAGAAGACCTTGTGAAGGTATTTTTTCGATAGAAGGCCTTCAGGAGGTCTTTTTTCAATAGAACCCCTTGTCAAAGTCTTCTGTCAAAATAAGACCTTATGAAAGTTTTCTGTCAATAGAAGACCTTGCTGAGGTCTTCTGCCAAGAGAAGACCCCTTCTGAAGGTTTTCTTTCAATAGAAGACCTTCTTCAGGCCTTTTGTCAATAGAAGACCATGGTAATGTATTCTTTCCTTAGAAGACCTATCGCTGGTCTCCTTTCCATAGTAGACCTGTTGCAGGTCTTTTTTTTCATAGAAGACCTGGCGCAGGTCTTCTTTTCATAGAAGGCCGGGTGCATTTCTTCTTTCAATTGAATACCTGGCACAGGTCTTCTTGCCATAGAAGACCTGGTGTAGTTCCTCTTTCCATAGAAGACCTGGTGCAGGTCGTCTTTCCATAAAAGGCCTGTTGCAGGATTTCATGCCATAGAAGACCCGTTACAGGTCTTCTTGCCATAGAAGACTTTGTGAAGGTCTTCTTGCCATAGAAGACCTTTTGCAGGTCTTCTTACCATAGAAGACCTGATGAAGGTCTTCTTGCCATAGAAGACCTGGTGCATGTCTTATTGGCATGGAAGACCTGATGCAGGTCTTCTTGTCATAGAAAACCTGTTGCAGGTCTTCTTTACGTAGAAGACCTGATGCAGGTCTCCTTCTCATAGAAGACCTGATGCAGACCTTCTTTCCATAGAAGACCTGGTATAGGTCTTCTATCCATTGAAGACCTGGTTCAGGTCTTTTTTCCATAGAAGACCTGGTTCAGGTCTTCTTTATGTAGAAGACCTGCTGCAGGCCTACTTTACGTAGAAGACCTGTTGCAGGTCTTCTTGTCATAGACCTGATGCAGGTCTTCTTGCCATAGAAGACCTGGTGCAGGTCTTCTTTCCGTAGAAGACCTGGTACAGGTCTTCTTTCCGTAGAAGACCTGGTACAGGCCTTCTTTCCGTAGAAGACCTGGTACAGGTCTTCTTGCCATAGAAGACCTGATGCAGGTCTTCTTGCCATAGAAGACCTGGTGCAGGTCTTCTTTCCGTAGAAGACCTGTTACAGGTCTTCTTGCCATTGAAGACCTGGTGAGGTTCTTTTTTCTTTGAGGACCTGGTACAGGTCTTCTTGCCATAGAATATCTGGTGCAGGTCTTTTTGCCATAGAAGAGCCGATACAGTTCTTCTTGTCATAGAAGACCTGTTACAGGTCTTCTTTCCGTAGAAGGTATAGGTCTTCTTACCATAGAAGACCTGATGCAGGTCTTCTTGCCATAGAAGACCTGGTGCAGGTCTACTTCCCATAAAATACCTTGTCAAGGTCTTCTCTGAAAAACCCTTAAAAGCTTTTAACCTTTAAATTTTTGAATGCAATTCAAACGCCTAAAAGTAGGCTAACCTATTTCCATGTTGTTTATCAATCCTAGAATTATATCAACATTTTCAATTACTTTACTTCGCCTATATTTTTTTTGTGGAAATTGTTTAGTATTTTTTTTAAGAGCCGCTGGTGTGGGGGAGACAATTGAAAAAAAAAAAAAAAAAAGCGGGAAATGTTAAATTGATTGGCTGACGATTGCTTTGATTACATTGTGTCATTAAAACGGACACACCAACGGAAAAGGAGACAAGGAGGAGACAAAAACTCCACAGATACCCGAAAAAAGCACACACATACACACCCAACTTAAATACAATTCTCCTCCAACGAAGCAGTGAATATTTTAACAATCAAACAATTTGCAACTTGCCAAATGGATGGAAAAACTAATGGAAAAAAAAAACAGCAGCTAACGGGGAGTCAAACAAAAAAACTACAAATCAATTGCATGTAGAATTAATTGAAAATTCAACAACAACAGCCAAGAATGTAAAATTCCAAAAAAAAGTAGACAAAGCGAATTAGCAAAAAACGGCAAGGGGGGGAGCCGGTTCCCACTTTACAGCTCCCACCACCCAATAACACAAAATGTAAAGTGAAATCTTGGATGCAATCTAAATGGGTTTTGTGTTTAGTCTCTTTTTTCCACTTGTTTTGTATTGCCAACCATTCCCCCCCCCCCCCTACTCCCCCTCCCCACACAATTTCCCGCTGGCAATTGTAATGTTTTGAAATTTGCATAAAATTCCACACTTTTTCAGGTTAACTTCTAAGTGGCCCCCATATATATGGGGATGTGTGTGTTAGTGTATGTGGCTCTCAGTGTGTACACAAACCACCACAAATGTATAGCAACATTTGTGCAACTTTCCGGTTTGTGTCGTTTGTTCTCCATTCTGGAATTTCTTTATTTACATTTGCTGTTGATGTTCTCTTTTTCTCTTTTTTGTTTTTGCTAGTGACTCACAAAAACAAAAATAAATTCTCCCCTGTTTTCAAAGCATAGTTTTTTGTGTTTACAAAAATTGTTGGTGGAAAAAAGCAGCATACTTTTAGGATACTTAATTAAATTTGAACTGGACAGTGGCGGCATACTATTTTGGGTACTATATTAAATTGGACTGCACAAGAGCATACTTTTAGGAGACATATATTAAATTCGGCTGAATTGGTGTGTGTGTTTTATTAGATTTTAGGTAAAAAAGAGAAAATGGTAATTCCTGGTAATGGAAGTAACAAATTTTGCAATGATAAAAATTAGATATGAGGATTAAAAAAAAAAACTTACATACATGCGTATAATAATTAAGGTAGGAGAAAGGAGAACTTTTTTTAACATAGGAGAATTTTTTAAACATCTCAAACAAAACTTGAAAAAAAATGTAGACTTCTTCATTTATCCCCAGAAGATTTAAATTACCTACAGCAGCCTTTTAGGGTCTTCTATTGCTGGAAGAAACTTGTAAGGCAAGTTGGAATGACTTCTTCCCATAAAATATTATTAGAGGATTCATGGACGATTTTTAAACGCCTTCCATTCGAAAAAGTTTGTTAAAAAATTTTTGACAATATCAAAATTATCTTGTTTTTTTTTTTTGGGCTTGAAGACCTTTAGTGTTTTTTACTTTGGGAAAAAAAGCGTTAGGCAAGGACCTTTAAGAAAATTTGGAAAAAAAAGCCTTAGACAAGGACCTTTAAGAAAATATGAAGATCTTCAGTCCAAAAAAAAAAAAAAAAAAAAAAAAACTCAAAGAACCCTCTTTCCATAAAAGGCCATCTCAAATTCGTCTCGTTTTTTTATTTGTTTATTTTTTGTGGGGGGGGTTTTCTGAAGCATTTACCATATTTCACGTTCGAAAAAAATTAAAGAAGGTATGAGGTATATACAGAAAACCTATAGAAAAACTTCTATCTACGAAAGATTGTCAAAGAAATTTGTTTCCATGAAAGACCCTCTGAATGCCTTGCCTTTTTTTTATTTTAAAATTATCAAATGTGGCTTCTGAGAGTATTTTTCCCAGATCTTTTGGGAAAAAATTCAAAGGAGGATCTTTATCAGACTACTCTGCACAAACTTCCAGCGTTGAGTTTCATAAGG